TGAGGTCTGTAAATGGCATGCTCATCTGAGAAAGATTCTCATGTATTCCTGCCCTGGAGAAGAAACAGAGATTCACATGCACCTGCTGGTCCTTAGTACAGCGTGGTACAAAATATACTCACCTAAAGGATTTTTAGGAACACATGTTCAATTTCTCATTAATGCAATTATCTAATCAACCAATCACATGGCAATCACTTCAATGCATTTAGGGGTGTGGTCCTGGTCAAGACAATCTCCTGAACTCCAAACTGAATGTCAGAATGGGAAAGAAAGGTGATTTAAGCAATTTTGAGAGTGGCATGGTTGTTGGGATTGTGAGTATTTCCCAATCTGCTCAGTTACTGGGATTACAAAGAATGGTGTGAAAAGGGGAAAACCTCCAGTATGCGGCAGTCCTGTGGGTGAAAATGCCTTGTTGATGCTAGAGGTCAGTGGAGAATGGGCTGACTGATTCAAGCTGATAGAAGAGCAACTTTGACTGAAATAACCACAACCGAGGAAAAAATAGAAAAAAGTGGCTACAATTTGCAAGAGATCACCAAAATTGGACAGTTGAAGACTGTAAAAATGTTGCCTGGTCTGATGAGTCTCGATTTCTGTTGAGACATTCAGATGGTAGAGTCAGAATTTGGCGTAAACAGAATGAGAACATGGATCCATCATGTCTTGTTACCACTGTGCAGGCTGCTGGTGGTGGTGTAATGGTGTGGGGGATGTTTTCTTGGCACACTTTAGGCCCCTTAGTGCCAATTGGGCATCGTTTAAATGCCACGGCCTACCTGAGCATTGTTTCTGACTATTTCCATCCCTTTATGGCCACCATGTACCCATCCTCTAATGGCTACTTCATTTCAAACTGGTTTCTTGAACATGTCAATGAGTTGACTACTAAAATGGCCCCCACAGTCACCAGATCTCAACCCAATAGAGCATCTTTGGGATGTGGTGGAACGGGAGCTTCGTGCCCTGGATGTGCATCCCACAAATCTCCATCAACTGCAAGATGCTATCCTATCAATATGGGCCAACATTTCTAAAGAATGCTTTCAGCACCTTGTTGAATCAATGCCACGTACAATTAAGACAGTTCTGAAGGCGAAAGGGGGTCAAACACAGTATTAGTATGGTTTTCAAAATTGGAAACCACCACAGTATGCAAGCAAATTTACTTTACACAAGAGCAATATCAAGCTAATTAAATATTTTAAAGCTTTCATGACTTTTTCAGGCCAGAAAAAGTTAAAATGTCTAGGTTTTTAATGGAAGTGGGAATCCTGAGCTTCAACCACTACATCCCAGCACCCAAATGGAATCTGCTGAATGTGTTCATTTATTTATGCTCATTTTGAGGGGAAAAAAATGAGGAATGATTTGATGGTGACGCTTTAATGATAAAAGTTAAGCGGAAAGTACTGCACAATGAAAGCACAATCAAATTAGTCAAACATTTTAATAAAACAACACGTAAAATTGTGTAGGCAAAGAAAAGAGGGCCTTATTATCACCGCAGATAATAAAGATAGAGCCGCAACAGCAGTGGTGACAGGTACGTTTGAAGCCGTGAGTGTGTGTGTGTGTGTGTGTGTGTCAGGCAATGGAAGTTCACTTCAAAGCCGTTTGTTCTGGGAACTGAATTTTCTGTTAATGGTTCTCGGTGAAGTTCACACCCTTTGATTTCAGTCATAATGGTCGGACAAGACGTGTGGAATAAGGGCTGATGAATCCTGCGGGTTACACAAAGATTGAAAATAAAATGCACTCTCCCTATTTGCATGTGTGCATCCGTATAACCACAAAACTGAAGTAATGACAGAACTGACTTTACATGCTGATTCAACTAAATCCATCCTAAAGGAGGCCATTCAGTGGTGTGGCCTTACCAGCGGCTAGGACAACACAATCAATGTGTGCCGCGTCAGCAGAATGCAGGCAGATAGAAAAAAAAATAAAACAAAGAGAGAATAATATGAAGAAAGAAAGAAGCGCTGTGTAGACTATCACTGGTCAACTATTAAAGAGTCATCATTTAATCACCCTCATGTGATTTCATACCTCTATGACCTTCTATCTCCCATCAAAACACAAAAGACGAATATCTCAATGGGGTCCAATGTTGTGTGAACCCAAATATCGTCCTTTATGTTTCTTATGAACAAAATGAGGGTGAGTAGATGTTCTCAGAGAGATCTTGGTGAAATGTCTCAAACAAAACTCTAGCTTTGAATCTATTTCATAAACTTTCTCAAAACTTCCTCAGGTACTGTTTCCCAGTAGACTGATACTTTTCTTTTGCTGTAACTTACAGCAAAAGAAAAGTTTTTCTTTTGCAAAAGACTTACAGCCTGTAAGTCTATATCTGAAACAGCGTAGTGACGTGATCTGAAACTATAGTACGTAACTACATCACAGTTATTTATGTTGGGGAAATGCTTAGCGACTAGCAGAACCATTGTAAGGCCGTGTGTCCACCAAAGAGTTTTTAGCCAGCTGAAAACGCTAGACGATCTGCTTAAGACGCCGTGCTTTGGGCGCTTGAGAGCATTTTCTCAGCGCAGCGTTTTTTTTCCATTGAGACGTTTTGTTGCTATGATACAGAATATCTGCGGCACAGTGAAACTGATTTTGCAGATAAAAAAAAACTAAAAATTTATTTTTCATCCATTTTGTTCGGTTGATGTTGTACAGAAAGCATGTTGTGGCAGTTGGTCGGTGTCCTATTAGTCCCGCCCCTCCTCCACTGTGATTGGACGGTTCGGTAAAAAGTGACAGTGATGAGCGCTGTGTTTTATCCAAAGTTGAAATTTTTTCAACTCACGGCGACCAACGCCAGACGTTCAGCGCTTCAGCGTGAAAAAAACGCTCAGCGCCTCGTTACGCTCATGGCGTTTTAAAAACGCGGCGCTCCCATTGAAAACAATTGAAAACATCCGCCAGACGCGTGGAAAAACGCTTTGGTGGACACGGCCTAAGACTGAACTGAACACACTTACAGACTGTTTCCAACGACTGAACGCAACTACACTTAAGGCGCATTTCCAATACACAGTACCAGCTCTCTGTGTAAAAGTTGTAGCTATACCTGCTTTCGGGAACTTTTTTTGTATCACCTCCGGCGAGGCGATACTAAAATGTGACGTGAAAATGTTGACTGCTGATTGGTCAGAGAGAATGTATCGTGCCAGATGGAGTATCCAAAATAACTCCGCCATGTTTAAATAGTTTACTTACTACTAACTTACTACTATTATTATGGCAACTCGTAAGAATTCGCCGTGGTCAAACGAGGAGGTGCAGACTTTCCTTCGTTTGGTGGCCGAAGAGAGGATCCAGCGAGAGCTTGATTGGGCAACGAGGAACGAAAGGCGTTGCTATGACGACCGGGTACAATTTGTGGCAATCTGCAATGGAAAAGCGAGCGAAAAGCGAGCCGAGTCGGTACAAGTGCCATTACAGACTGTTTCCAATGACTGGAGCACATTTTAAACAACGACTAAACACAGCCGTCTATGACTCGCCGCGTTTGGGCATAATCAGTCGCAAGTATCAAATTGCATTCATAATCGGTCTTACGGTCATTGAGTGTGTCCCCGGCTTTAATTACAGAAACAATCACATTAGATTGTCTATTAGCCACCATCAAACATTCAATATCACCATGGTATAAAAAAGAATGTGTTTGTCAGAATGCCACAACCGATCAATCACATTTCAGAGATCCAATTAATAAACAAATGCAAAGGCCAAGATAAATGAGCTCTCTCTCTCACACACAAACACACATCAATAATAGGGGTGTAACGATACTCTCATGCCACGATTCGATACATATCACGATACTAAACTCACGATACGATATTATTGCGATACTTCAAGACATAAGGTTAACCAAATATGTACTGTTGATTAAAATGCTAAATCTGATATTACATTGTGGGTTGAAATGAATAGGCTTGGACTTGGTGCCTTGTAACCCAAGGACAATGGTGACACCAGAATAACAATATTCATGATTCTGAAGCTGAAAATACAGAATTATTGTAGATGAATATGCTTGCACGCTTCCAATGACTAGATATATTTAAAATAATGTCGGCCACTTTTTACTGGTAGCATCAGACATTTGGCATTATCAGCACCTACAAATGTTCCCATATTGCATTATTATACATCATAACCAATATTATACATAGTAGTATCAACAGTAGATTTTTTTTCTCACACAGTAATTTTTATTTTGGGGGAACTATCCACGATGCATATTGTCACTATCCACGATACGTATTGTTGTATTTTTGTATTGCGATATATTGTTACACAGTAACACACAAAAATATTAAGCTGTTGATAATAATAAGAAATGTTTCTTGAGCAGCAAATCAGCATATTGGAAACATTTCTATATGTAATATAGAATATATTACATATATAATACATATATATATATATATATATATATGAAGAGTTCAGATGCAAAAGCCTCTAAATGCCATTTGAAATTTTCTTCTTTAATGATGATTAATGATCAGTAATTTCACTTAAATAACAATTAATAGGTAATTATCATTGCCATTTAAGTGAAATTACTGAACTTAAATATACAAGTTTGATAAAAATCATCATTAAAGAAGAAAATTTCAAATGGCATTTAGAGGCTTTTGCATCTGAACTCTTCATATATATATATATATATATATATATATATATATATATATATATATATATATATATATATATATATATATATATATATATAAAATATGTATATATGTTTTTCTTCAATTTAGCATTTAATCGAGAAGATCTAAGGACATAGATTATAGAAATAAATAAATTCAAAATGTAAATGTGTAAATCAGCAGGTCACCACATGACCTAAAGCTGGATTTTCCTGACAATTTCCCTCCTCCCTCTCCCTGCTTTGCTGTCATCCACCCCCTCTCTCTCTCTCTCTCTCTCTCTCTCTCTGTGTGTGTGTGTGTGTGTGTGTGTGTCGCTGGGTCTCTCAGTTCTTGGAGCGGCTGGTTCAGGATGGATGTCTCATGTGCGCACATGCCATCGCTGAGCGCTGGACCCCACCGCAACCCGTCGGCAGTGTGCGCGTGAGTGTGTGAGTGTGTGTGTGTGTATGCGTGTGTGTGTGTGAGAGAGGGAGAGAGTTGCGGGGGAGCGCCGGTCGGGTTGAGTTTGCGTGTGTGTTTTGGGGCAGATCTCAGTGGAATCTCTCACGCTGGATGTGTAAGGATCACGGCAGGACCGACTGACCGTACGTGAAACTTCCAACATGGCAGACCCTCTCTCTGGACTCACCTCAGCTCTCGTGCCCTGACGGAGAGGGAAGACATGTGCTGGTCATCTCTCCCTCACCTTCATCATCACCACCACCACTGATCCCAGGCTGGAGGTGAGTCTCTGCGTTTGAGCTCAGGGCTGGACTCATTTAATCACTTTTTAATCTCCTGTAATCAGCTGGAAAATCTTCTCGAGAAAACACAAATGCACAAGAAACTTGTGCACAAAAGTTGATTTGAGAAGCTGATCAGAACAAACACAGTGAGATCATCTGATCCTGTGGCGTTTCGATGCTTCAGATCATCAGATGCAGTGGTCCTCGCAATGCTTAGCATTATTATAATCTTTTTATTTCAACCCACGCAGAGAGAGAGAGAGAGAGAGAGAAACAGCTTATGGTGGTTTGAACTGTAAAACACTCGCTGGATTTAGAAACTGTAGGTTAAATCATGGACAGCATAAAAGGTCTGGTTCACTCAGAGATTAACATTTGTGCATCAGTTTCTTACCCGTGTGTCGTTTCGAATCCATATGACTTTTGTTGTTGTTTTTTCCGTGAAACGCAAAATGAGATGCTTAGCTGAATGTTCATGCTGCTCTTTCACATAATATAAAATGCACAGGGAACAGAAGCTGGTGTTGACCTCCCAAAAAAAGGACAAAAAGCACCATAAAAGTAGATGTGCATGGGGTGGGTGATATGGCAAAAATATATCACAATTTATTTCAGGAAAATCATGATTTACAGTTTTATCTCAATTATTTTTTTCTTATTTTAATGGTTTTACTATTTTGCAAGTGACTGAGCATTACAGCCAAATGAATGTCCCTATTTTAAAAACAAAGCATTTTAGATAACAAAATATGAAATAAATAAAAAAAAATAGGCTAAAGTGGTGAAGATAAAAAAATTGTCATTTATTTTTATTTGTTATTAAAAAATAAGAACACGGATAAACACATTACATTATAAACCACATAATATATAAATGCAATAAACAGTGCTTTATGTGTATGTGTTTTTAACAGTAGCATTCAAGAACAAATATACAAATTTGTATTAAATCTACTATAAGTTCTCAGTCAAGAGCAGTGAGTGATTTCCTCGCTGTGTTTTGTTGTTTTATTAACATTAAAACGATAGTTTCCCCAAATGGAAATTGTCATCATTTACTCTCTCAAGTTGTTTTAAACCCAAATAAGTTTCTTTCTTCTGTTGAAAATTACATTTATTTGAAAGAATGCACCTAACCAAACAGTTGGTCCCCTGTGACTTCCATGGTACAGGTTTTCCTATTATGGAAGTCAATGGGGACCAGGCGTTGTTTGTCAGGCTTTAAGTGGTGGTGCGGTTCGGGTGTACGCGCTTAGAATAGCTCACGTTAGAACGGCGCATCTGCTAGCGAATGAAATGTTTAACGGGGATGACCTTTTGTGAATTGCGGTGTCCCGTGAGTGTAACTCTACCTCTGCGTTAACATGTGATGTGAATGTACGTAGCATTGTACGGTATGTTAATAACATAATAAACAGTCGGCAAAATATGATCTAAAATGTCATTATCAGGAAAATCCCAGAAAATATAGAGATAGCACTTTTTTGTCAATATCGCACACCCCTTATGTAATTAACTAGAGGTTCTGAGAAAAAAAAATAATAATAATTGTCTATTTAAAATCTTAAATATTTAAAGGAGTAGTTCACTTTTCAAAAAAACTTTTGCTGATAATTTACTCACCCCCATGTCATCAAAGATGTCCATGTCTTTCTTTCTTCAGTCGAAAATAAATTAAGGATTCCAGGATTTTTCTCCATATAATGGACTTCAATGGGAACCAAACGGTTCAGGGTCTTAAAGACTGTTCAAAGGGCTTTAAATGATTCCAGACGATGATCTAGCGAAGCGATCGCTCTATTAAAAAATTAATAACAAAGTTTAAGTTTTATAAGCTCAAATGCTCGTCTTGCTCTGTTCTGTGACGCACGTTTGTGACTCTCCTGTTCGAACTCGTTCATCAAAATGAACAAATCTTTTTCCGAGTCAATTTGTTCGTTTCGTTCGTTGAATGAACCAAATGACTCTGAAAAAGATTCCGAGAATATTTTGAATGGATGATTCAATGACTCACTCATAAATAATTTTGTTATCTTGATTATTGGATAATTTAAACTAATCTCGTGGATGAATGATTCAATGACTAATGCGTTTTTTAACATCGACATATCGCCACCTACTGGTCAAATTATTATTTGAAGTGCCATGTTATTTTCTACCGCGCTACCGTAGACATCAGTGTTTATATTCAAACTATAAACTTTTATCACATTTCTACAGAAATGATACCGTGTGGTTGAAAAGACGCAAAGCGCTTTCTTACATGACTGGATCAGCGGCAGCTCATACACACATTTAAATGTTCCGGTATGATTTTGTCAAAGGTTTAACAGACATAGTCGAATCATTGTCACTTAGTTATGAGATTGTGTGGGTGTTTGATCTTTTAACTATTAATCGCGCATCAGTTAGAACAGATTTAAAATAATCTTTCTATTAATCAAAGAATCCTGATTAATAATGATTTCCATACAAATTCTCAAAATTCACTAATGTGTATTCAAATCTACCATATCAAGACCTGGTGTGTGGCAAGTTTGACGTCAGGTTCTTACGTGTATTCATGCTAATGAGTTTAGAGAGTTACAGCGGACGCTAGATGCTTTCATTGAAAAAAGCAAGACAAAAATAGCTGTATAAACACTCTGCATCATGTTCTAGAAAACAAACCAAGTCATATAGGTTAACTACAACAGCAGGATTTAGATTTTTAGGTGAACTATTTCTTTAAAAGTGTCAGGTGCTCAACCTCCCTAATGAAAGAAAGACTGGTGAGAAGAGCGTAATGGAGATGAATACTGCCTGTTAGTGCTAGAGACAGAAACCCACTAGCCACACGTGAGTCAAATGCTCACAAACACACACTTTCCTCAGACATGCAGGACAATCTGGTGCAGAAACACTTCCATATATAAAACAGAGAGAGAGAGATAGAGAGAGGCTGAGTGAGAGCATGAGAAGAAAAAGTTATCTGGGTTCTACGTGAAGGATCACGACTGTCTTTCAATTGGCTGTTTTTGAGTCACTCCCATCCTAAATTTACCTCCTAAACTAGACACCATCAGAGAGAGAGAGAGAGAGATGCATATTGCATGCTGACCTGCAATATCAACAGTATAACTGGTGAATCTCAGAAATGACAGAGTATTTCATCAGAAATAAAAAAATAAAGTAAATAAATAAAATAAAAAAATAATGTTTTTATTTATGTATTATTTTACATTACATAATTGTATTTCTACTGGCTAATTAAATCAGTTTATATGTATAATAATATATACATAACATACACACATTATAGAATTATATGTTTGCTAAATAAATATATGGTATAAGAAATAATAAATTTTTATTATAATAATGAGAATTGGAACAAATTTAAATTTAGATTAAACTTAAACGATTAATCGCGATTAATCGCATCCAAAATAAAAGTTTGTGTTTACATATAATACAATATATGTGTGTGTAGTGTACTGTGCATAATTATTTTGTATATACAAATTCACACACACATGCATGTATATATTTAAGAAAAATGTGTTATCGATATAAAAAATATAAATATTGTATAAATGTATATACGTGCAAATATTTATTAAATATATACATGCGTGTGTGTGTATAATTATTTTGTATATACAAATTCACACACACATGCATGTATATATTTAAAAAAAATGTGTTATCGATATAAAAAATATAAATATTGTATAAATGTATATACGTGCAAATATTTATTAAATATATACATGCGTGTGTGTATTTATATATATACAAAATAATTACACACACTATGCACACATACATTATGTATGTAAACACAAACTTTCATTTTTGGATGCGATTAATCGTTGTCCAGCCCTAGTTTAAATATTTATTCTATTAATTTTGGGTTAAACTTTGACAACATATGCTGCGTCCCAATTCGCATACTATCCGTCCTAAATAGTATTCGAAAATGGAATTAGTACGTCCCAAATAGTATGTTGAAATGAGTGTTTCAAAGATACCCGGATGGTCTACTTTTTCCGGTCAGAATCCGAAGTGTAGATCGATGCACACTCTAACGGCTGATATTGCCCACAAACCATTGCGCGGTGGACGAGGATTCGGTTAGAACTACAAACACGAGTAAAAAGTTTTAAAAAACTACAAACACGGATAGTCGATACGGAGGACGCGCGAGTCCCCGCGGTTGTGTAGAGAGGTTTAGATAAAGAGGTTTGTTGGAGTGATTAATTATCAGTATCTAACCTGACGAAAATAAATTTATTCAATGTTGTCCACATTATATTGCATTTGCAGCAGCATTGTGAACTTTTGTAAAGACACGTTTAGCCATTACGTTTTAAATGCATCATTATATTCAAATTGCAAACACGAGGAGAGCATGAAAGACCCACAACTGGCAGATGAACGTGCTCTCCGAAACGGTAGGAAATCAAATTAGATAGAATGGAGGATTTTAACTGTGACAAGATGATTGACAGGGCAGTTTACGGTGACAGAGACAGAGCTGTCCGTTAAAGATGGCGTGATAGTATGTCCCAAAGCTTGCCTACTCTTTTGCTACACACTCAAAAGTATGTACACTCTAAAAATTGCTGGGTTGTTTTAACCCAATTTTGGGTCAAATATGGACAAACCTGAAATATTGGGTTAAAAATGTAATGTAAAAATTTAACCCAACGGCTGGGTTAGTCCATATTTGACCCAAAGTTGGGTTAAAACAACCCAGCATTTTTTAGAGTGTACTTTTTCCTCACAAAAAGAGTACATACTTTTAGGGCGTATATAAGTAAGCGAATTGGGACGCAGCAATAGTCTCACTCATACATGATAGTAAACATCCAAGACATTCAACCAACAGTCAGGAATTCAATATTTTAAGGTATGCTGCAGGACAAAACACACATTCCTTGGTTGATCTTTCTCACACACAGTCACAGACTCAAGTTCATGGCCAACACTAAAGCATGCACAGTTTAAAGTCA